AAGGTAAATTTGAGAAGGTGGCATCACGGAGGTTACATTTTTTTACTCTGTGTCTATGCTGTAAAGTTTATTATACAATAATAGAAATACTATGTTTTGTTTACTTCAAACTGTGCTACCCACAGGTTTTGTTATATTAAATATTTTGTCATTAAACATCAATATTTGTCAATCGTTAGAGCGCCACCTAGATGTAATAGAACATGTTATATACTTTAGCATACTCCTCCTCAGAAGCTGACTACATCCATCTCAAATGTGGTCAGAAAAATGATCTTGATTTCCTCTGAATGCAAAAAATAAGGGTTTTCACATAATGATGTCCTCTGGTGGCAGACAATTCACCATGAAACATGAAGCTATTTTTAAAGGGAGAAGGAATATTCATAAAACTCTGTTGAAACTTGCATGATTCTGTTGGTTCTCCTGAAATATTTCATTGAAACAACCCAATCACTGCATTTTAGTTAAAGTCATGAAATTCAGAGGCCTCATTGATTATTGAAAAAGAAAAAAAATACTTCTTTGGCAGGACGTCCACCTATTAATTTAAGTTGATATTATACTGATGTTTCCATTATTGTCTCTTCAATTAAGAAAATCCTGCAGAACATTTAATGAAATCAAGATAATCTTTCATTCGTTTCATCTACAGACTTTTTATTTGAGACTTTTTATTTGAGCAGTAAAGCAAATGTCTTTACTTTGAAACACCACATAAAACTGTTAAAACTCAAATGTGTAATGTCAAATTTGTCTCTGAATTGATACATTTTAAGTATGAATACACGCTAACAAATTAATTTTTAAAATGTTGTTCTCAAACTGTTTCACAGCTCTACAATTATTATTTACTTGTATTTCTTTTTTAATTGCAAACAGACCCTGGATTTCCTTATTCCACACCTGCTTCAAGAACACAGACCTCTCCAGCTTTTCGGGTTAATGTCACTGGTTCAACAGCAGTGGACAACAGCACAGCAGTTGAGGGGGAGGTCCGCCTGGTAAATAGGGGTTCCGACTCCTGCTCTGGCAGGGTGGAGATCTTCCACAGTGGGCAGTGGGGGACAGTGTGTGATGATTTTTGGGGCCTGGAGGATGCTCAGGTGGTATGTAGGCAGCTGGGCTGTGGTAGGGTCCTCTCCATGCCAACTAATACACAATTTGGTGCTGGCACAGGGCCTATCTGGATGCATGATGTAGCATGCACGGGAAGAGAAGCCAACTTGCCTGAGTGCCACCACTCAGGGTATGGATCTCATGACTGCAGCCACAAAGAAGATGCTGGTGTCATCTGTGAAGGTAAATTTGAGCAGCTGGAGAGTTTATTTTACCAATATTGAAATATTATGTTTGATCTACATTAACCTCCTAAGACCCGAACTCTTCCACGGCATGCATTTTTAATTTCTCTTTGATATTTAGGCATATCGGGGCCCGATGAATGCAAAAATAAAGAATTAGCAGATTTTTATTATTTTCTTTTACCTTATTTTTGTTTTTAAGAAAAGTAAGAGCCACATCTGAGGATATTCGTTTGAAATGTTGATAGAATACTAGCAGCATAATGTCCTTGTTCATGGATATGTAAATGGCCCTTGCAGAGCAAAATTTAGTATTTTGGTCTAAATAACCCAAAAAGTGATGTTGGCATATGTGGACGCCAGGTCCTAGGAGGTTAAAGGTTTATCTACAAGTTTTATTGCATTAAATGTTTTTTCTTTCACAGCCCTTTTGTTCCTGCTTCTTTTACTGTTGTTATTTATATAAATTAATCTTGAGATGAAATTTACATCTCAGCTGCGATTTACTCCTTTCAGGTTATTTTCAGCTCACTTTTCATTGAATCGTATCAGCTCCCCATCCCCAACATCAGTTTTAATGAGACTACTGAATTTAAGGTTATGGCTCTCTTCTCACTAAGCGAGTTTAGTCTGCAGAGTAGATTTCTTAAAAACAGTAATTAATTAAAATGCTACATTTTAATATGTAGTTGCTCTTTATAAGAAAACATCTCATATTCAAAATCTTTCTGCCATTTTTCAAAATTTATATTGATGTTTTTTCTATGTAATTTTAACCAATAACTTTTATAAGTGACGTTATTTAATTGTCCCATTTTTTTCAGTCTCTCATACAGGTTTCTCTCCGCTTTTGGTTATTGTATCTGTGGTAGTGGCAGTTCTTCTGTTACTTCTTGTTCTTTTGCTCATCTACAAAAAGACGGCAACGGGCTATCGTGGTGAGTTCTGATCCAGCCTTATATGCTTTTTTAAAGAATTATTAATCAAAAGGATTTTATGTGGCTCCATAGTGTAGTGGTTTACACCATTGTTCAGCAAGGGAAAGGTTACTACTTCAACTCCAGCCGGAGTCACAAATCATTCTTGGGATTGTATCGGGAATGGCATCTAGTGTAAAAACTGACAAATTAAACATGTGCAGCTTCCTGTTGTTGTGGCCCCTTCTGAACAAGAGGTCAGACAAAAGTAGTATTTCTTTTTTTAATTAAGTATTCTCATGGAATCGTTTGACTGCTAACCTGCCCCACTTCTTTTCCAACAGGATAAGATCCGACCTAACACCACAAAAATGAGCAAAGCTATAACATAACACGTCTTTGTCTCTTTTCTATAGGTTTCTCTAGGTATAGAAGAAACTCAACCCAAAGCCAAACTGAGGTGATTCATTTATATTTGTTTAATTTCACTGTCATTTGTAGGCTCTTTATGCTGCACTGTGAAGAAATTAACACATTTCACTGGTTCATAAAAAGTTCAGAATTCTGAATTTTGTTGTTTTTTGCTTGTTTGTTTTTTCCCCAGATTGCTCTTACTGAAAAATATTCTACAGTCCTCCACACGTAAAGTCTCGACCAACTAGAGCGTTGATCAAGCCAGCAGGAACCAGGACCAAACCTACTGGACTCTACTGTCACACACACTAAATAGCAAATTATCATACATTCCTTCCGATGAATAGAAATGTGTTTGGGGGTTTCATGTCTTATCTAGAACCATGGTCAATTGTTCTGTAAGAACTAACCATGTCACTTCCCTTGCCCTTACTAGGCCAGACCAGTAACACTGACACTGGCCAGTCAGGCACATAAAACATACATAAAAGCAAGGATGAGTTGACTCAGAATCCATTTGTTAGGCTTGTCATTGTTATCCTCTCCACAGCATTAATAATGGCCATCAACAGTGGCCTGCGCAGAAACGAACATGGATGGATGGCTACAATAAGAGATACGAATAAACTTTATTATCCCAGATGTGAAATTAAATTTGTACAAATAGTGCTCTGCATAGAAGTATTCACACAATAAAGCCAGCACCAAAATTCAATTAATAAATATGTTAATAATTCATTCATTCATCACTGATAGTTTCCCATAATTAAACTCCAGGAAACATTTAAGTACAGGATGATGTGGCTCCAGAGCTTTCAAAGTGCACTGAGTCCTTATGTGCAAAAGATGCTGGGACTGATGAGAGCTTTTAGCAGTTTGTCTTACAGTCCCTGAGGGTAAAAACTCAAGCTCTGAAAAAACTGGATAAGGGATGAATCATTAAAACTTTTAGGAGCCTGATAAACAACAATTTTGTAATATTTTGTTTGGTGAGACTAGTGCTCTTTGTTTCCTATCATTGTCATAGCACTTTTGACTTTACTGTAAGTAAGCCACACCAACTGCTATCCCATATCTAATCAAACTTTCAAGCATTGTATTATAAAAAAAAAATCCTTAGATCTCACTTCAAACATTTTGAGCACGTGAAGAAAATTGAATCCGAGCTTATTTGTCAGTAAAAAAATAAATCTACATGTACTTCCCATATTCCCTTAGGGTGAAATATTATTTCTTTAGTTTTATCAGTGTTCCAAATAAAACGATGATGATGACACCACTGCTGATGCACAGTCATTTGCATGCAGAAGACTTAAAATGGTAAATGGTAAATGGCCTGTATTTATATAGCGCCTTACTAGTCCCTAAGGACCCCAAAGCGCTTTACATATCCAGTCACACACACATTCACACACTGGTGATGGCAAGCTACATTGTAGCCACAGCCACCCTGGGGCGCACTGACAGAGGCGAGGCTGCCGGACACTGGCGCCACCGGGCCCTCTGACCACCACCAGTAGGCAACGGGTGAAGTGTCTTGCCCAAGGACACAACGACCGAGACTGTCCAAGCCAGGGCTCGAACCGGCAACCTTCCGATTACAAGACGAACTCCCAACTCTTGAGCCACGATCGCCCCCTAAATAGTTTTATCATCAGAGAATTTGACAGCCAACTATTAGTGCAGTTATCACTATAGTGATTAGCATGCATGGTGAAAAGGAGAGGGGGAAGTCACAAAAATTGAATCATTTAACTTGTTGTCACCTGCTAGTCAAGAGGGATAAAAAACATTTGATAATTAAGGCACATTTAAGAGTTTTGGGCCTGCAGGTATGGATGAACAATCAAATGCAGAACTAAAATCAACAAATAGAATCTGATCATAGGCTTTTGGATCTTCTGAATGCTTCCTTTATTAAATGAATGATATTTATCATAGCATCCTTCACTGTTTACAAACTGATGCGGGTCTAGACTTGAAGATATCTTTGGTTTGATCATATTTAAAATAATTTTCTTAAAACACTTCATCACTACACATGTTAGTGGCAACATCCCTGAAGTCCTTGTTCTCAATAGGATGTGTTACAGACATGTTACCTCTGGTGTAAGAATGATTTTAGATATTCACCATAACTTTGTGACGTTTGGGAAAAAAGGGCACCGTACATCGGTTAATTCACCGAGCAGCGTTTCAATAAAGAAGCAGACATCAGTCACAAACATTTCTGAGAACCAACTGAAATGGCTTCAAATTAATTTTCACACTATCAGAATCACCAAGTAAGTCTCTACTTTTTATTGATGCAATCTTTAACTTTTTTAGTGACGTGGTTTAATATTTGGGAAATTAATAGCCTCTTTTTTCAGGATTATATTGTTCTTACAACAATTTATATAGTCTGTTGTTGGATCTGTAGCCTCATCTAACACCATACTATAGAATAAACTCCAGTATGTGCATATGAAACAACCCATCAAAGTCCCTGCACTGTCCTGAGTCCATACAACACTGCAACACAGTTGTATTTTAGCACAGATTTATACGGCATACCTGCTCCTCAACATAAGAACATAAGAAAGGCCAGTGGTAGACTCTCTCTCTACCACCCTTCATTCTTATTGTGAGTATAATTCATTTGCCAAAAAGAGATAAAATACACAGCTTACTAATTATACTTTATTCTTGTAAATGCTTCATGCTAATCATACAATAATATAATTAAAGAAAATTAACCTGTCGTGGTGAAAGTAATGATAACTTAAAGCCTATACTAAAAAGAGAAAGGTTCTTCACCCTCCATAAACATGAAGCTTTCTTCAGCACAGCCTCATAAGCAGGCTTTCTCTTTAAGTAGGCTTCATCTCTACCTCTCCTGTGTTTTACAGATGGCTGTAAGCACTCATTGTTGTACCTCTCTCCTGACCTCCTCCATACATACAACATTTTTTTGTTGTTTTTTGTGTAAACTGTCTTTTCAAGCCTTTTCAAGTAGTTTCCCTTCCTTAGGAATGGCTTCTCCACAGCCACCCTTCCACCCTGCCTCCACTTTTTTGTTGAAACATGTGATTTTGCATAGTTTCTTTTAAGACACGTGGCATATTTCAGCTAATAGGTCTTTAGGAATCACCTCGTTGGTACAAAATTACTATTTACGTCTGTAAGACTGTGCTATTAGGAGCATTTTTATGCTTGAATAATACATAGATGAGTGCTAAGTGGCTTAACTAACAAAAAAATACCGGAGTACTTTAAAAGCAGTCTGATATTGAAACTGTGGACTGAACTGTGGCATCAAGACAGACACAACAGTACCTTCACTATCCAAGCGATTCTGTAAGAAATTTGATGGGAATAAAAACAGGGAATCTAATGGAGCTGTATGTTATCCATGTGATATCCTTTGAGTCTGTTTTTCTTTGTCATGCTGACAGTATTTTGATTGTGTATACCGTCTAGATGTACAAGTGTTTTTGAATGTGACTGTCACCTACGTGTGTGACTTTACTGCATTTTCTTATCTTCATCAATAAATCAAACAAAATATGAAAATAAAATGAAAAAGAAAAACAGGTGAGACTGTTTGATGCTCAGGATGTGTGTTTATTTGTGTTTATTTCCAATAAAATCATATTTGTTAACACGTTCCAGCAGTGATGTCATCGAGGCTTGACATGCTGGTGGAAGTGACATCAACAGAGGGGATGTGACATTCAGATGTTACACGATGTGTTGATGATATAATCTTTTCCTAAAAAAGAAACAAAAGATTTAAAGTTGCTTTTGAACTTTTTTTTTATTAAGCTTCAGTTCATTATATCTTTTTTTACATTTTGCTTCTTGTTTTGATTGACATGCAATGGATGAGTATTTTTTTTTTTTTACTTTGAAGCCTTAGCTTAAACCTTAACTCATTTATTTTACTTATGTTTAGTTCTTCTAGCCCCCTGAATGTTCCTTCTGTCTCATCCAAGTGTTTGTGTCTCATTGTCAGTTGTATTTTGTATATCTCCTGCTCTACTTTAAAGTAGAGATGGCACGATACCACTTTTTTAAGTCCGATACCGATATCATAATCATAATCAGAATCAGAAAGGGTTTTATTGCCAAATGTTGAGCGGGTTTACAACATTAGGAAATTGCTGCGGTGCTTCAGTGCAAACATTTGGATATAAATTTGGATATCTGCCGATACCGATATGAATCCGATATCGTGTGTTTTAATCAACAAAACTGTTTTTTTAATATATTGCTGCATTTTGTATAAGTTCATACTCAAGTTTAAATAAACAACAACACTAAAGCTATTCTGTTATACCTGTATGTAAAAAATACAACATAATATTTCATAGTTCAGCAACACTGATCAATCTAATAAACTTAAACCTGCTCCATCCTCCCTATTCTGGTATTTTAAAGAGTACTTAGCAGAAATATTAAGCAACCTAACTAATAGGGTTGCAAACTCCCAGCAAAAAAAATAGGGAACCACCCTCCACCTCATGATGCTTAATCGACGTTATCAACTTTAATTTGATGCAATGTGGAAAAAAATGCACAGAAATCAATTATTTTTCAAGAATAATTAAATAGATTCAACATCTTTCTTCAACAGAATTGCAGACTGCACAGATGGTACCTTTCCAAAGGAAAAAGTACTATAGCTTACTAGGGAATATTAGACATAACAGTTACTATATACAGTAATGGACTTCTATATATTTTACATAAGATTAAAACTTTGGGTGTAAGATTCAGAAAATTATTTATTAAAAGCTAGACATTTTAATGAGAATAAGAAATAAAAGTATGTCTTTGTGCCCCCTTTTCCCTGTTAATGCCCTATCGGCCCCCCTGGCTAAACTTTGCTAGATCCGCCCCTGCACAGTTACCAGCCGTCAGCTGCGTAGAAAAACATCCTGATGTAGAAAGTAATATTAAATAAAATCTAACAACAGCTTATCAAGGTTAAACGTGCTGCGGTTGTTCAGCCGCTGGTTTCCTCTTTCTGGTGCAAAGTGGGACAAAAACAAACAAGAGAGACGGACTCGTGACAGAAAAGTCGATCAGCTGATCATTAAGCAGTTTCATGATTGAAGTAGCAGCAGAAGAGGCAGTCGCTCCATATATCGGTTGTTAAGCTTAACGTGGGAATGCTTTACAAACATTCAGAGATGAACTTACACACTTGCTTTACTTCTCTCTGGGATCACTTCATCAGAGATGAAATGCTGGTTTGGTAGCGAGGCTACAAATACACACAGCCGCTCTATCACGTGAGCACACTGCCTTTTTTTTTTTTTTTTTTGCATTTCCACATTTTTTGTTTCTTGTTTGTTCTTCTTTACACTTTTAAATTTCAAATAAAGTTTAGTTTGATTTTGCAGCAAAACCTTGGTATACAAAGGGCAACTAAGCCCAAAGTTCAACTTCAGCTTCTCAACACAATACACTGATATTTTGAACAAGAAGTACTAGCTGAGAATCCTCCAAAATCTCTTTGTACAAAAGTAAAATAGTATAAGAAAGAATCTGTCCTATTGGTTATCGTGATGTGAATGTCCATTATAAAGCCTCAGACACAGAGGTTTGACCCCACTCAGTGAAATCAACGAGGATGGTCCCTGAGACTGCTTTGGACGCTAGCAGAATTATTTTGGAGTTGTATGTGCATTAC